AGTGATCAAATGGACCCTTGCCCCAACACTGTGTGCCAGAGATGCTATTACTTCCTTTTGCACAATTGAGTACAGGTTGGGGATTGCCTTTTGCGAAAAGTAATTTCGGCCGGTACCTTCCACTGCGGTGTCCCAATAGCTACAAATTTTTTGAACGCCTCAGACTCCACCAGCTTGTATGGTAAAAGCTGGCGGGCTAATAGTTCGGACAAGCCAGCAGTCAGACGCTGGGCAGGGGGGGGACTTTCTGACATTGTCTTCTTACGCTCAAACATGTCCTTGACAGACACATGACTGTGGGAAGATGAGCTTGAACTGCTCAAGGCGGGAGGCGGAGTGGCGGATGGTTGAGAGGGGACAAGGAGGACAGCAGTGGTTGACGTGGCTGAAGATGCTGGACCAGGAGGAGGCCAGCGCTTAGATTAGGCTTTGTGCCAAGCTTGTACTCATGTAAGCGATCCCATATGGCGCCTGTGAGGGAGATCATGTGCCTACGCAAAGCAGTTGTACCTAGGTGGGTGTTGGACTTCCCACGACTCAGTTTCTTTTGGCACAGGTTGCAAATGGCATCGTTGTTGTCAGAGGCAGACACACAAAAAAAATTCCACACCGCTGAGCTCTGCAATGACGGCATTCTGGTGGTGGACACAGCATGCGTTGATTGGCGTGCTGTCGGGCTGACCCCGGGTGTCGATGCATGCTGTCTGACTGTGCCACTAGCTCCTTGCGACGACCTCCCCCTGCTTCCAACTCGTCTCCTCCTCCTCCCCTGTCTCCCCATCTGAACTTTCGCCCTGTTCTTCTTCTTGACGAGCGGGCACCCACGTGACATCCATGGACGCATCGTCATCATCAACCGCTTCAATGTATCTGCCAACCTTCAGCAGCCAGCAGCGGTACAACACATCATCATCATCATCACAATCGCACGCCCATGTGTGTAATGCTGCCTGCCTGAGACATAGTCCTCGTTATCTACATCCTCTGGCAATAATGGTTGGCAAGATCACCTAGCTTCTTCAAACGGATGTGTGAATAACTCCTCTGACATACCAACTGAAGCGGCTGTGGTGCTAGTTTTGGTGGTGGCGGCAGGCGGGTGAGTGGTATCTGGAGAGGTGCCTGAAGCTAAGCTGGAGAAGGATGGTGCGTCAAGGTTCTGAGCGGAGGCTGTAGAAGATTGGGTGTCCTGTGTTAGCCAGTCAACTATGTCCTCAGAACTTTTCAAGTTCAGGGTACGTGGCCTCTGAAAACTGGGCATTATTCTAGGGCCAAAGGAATCACAGCACCACGACCACGATGGCCCCTGCGGGGTGGCCTGCCTCTGCCTGTCATTTTTGTTGGGATTAGTGGTACTATGCGTGCAAGCTACTGTGAGACCAGATATGAGTGGCAAATGTGCACTGGCACAGTTGTGCAGAGCACAGGCTGTAGGCCTGACACCCGCTTGAAGATAACTAACTGCTATTCAATCTATAACAGTGAAAAAAGTTTTTTGTTTTTAAATCCAAGCTATTGTGCCACCAGACCCGAATTAGTGTACCTGTCAGCGATCCATTAAGTTAGCGAATAATCTTCGCTTTATGCACACTGACTGCTATTCAATCTATAACAGTAAAAAGTTTTTGTTTTAAATCCTGCTTACGTAGACAATTCAGATCTAATTAGTGGCACTGGTCAGCTGTGATTCACCTCGTTAGCTGCAATACACCCGCTTTAAGGACACTGACTGCTATTCAATCTAGCAACAGTGAAAAAGTTTTTTGTTTTTATATCCCTGCTATTGTGACACCCGATCTAATTAGTGGCACTTGTCAGCGTATCCACTGTTAGCGTAACACACCCGCTTTAAGGACACTGACTGCTATTCAATCTATGCAAAAAAGATTATTTTTTTAAATCCCAAACTATTGTGACACCAGATCTACCTAGGTGTATAATTTGTCACAAGATCCACTGTTAGCGTAACACACCCGCTTTAAGGACACTGACTGCTATTCAATCTATAACAGTGAAAAAAGTGTTTTGTTTTTTTAAATCCAAGCTTTGTGTCACCAGATCTAAGTGGTGGCACTGGTCACCGTATCCACCGTTAGCGTAACACACCCGCTTTAAGGACACTGACTGCTATTCAATCTATAACAGTGAAAAAGTGTTTTGTTTTTTTAAATCCAAGCTTTGTGTCACCAGATCTAAGTGGTGGCACTGGTCACCGTATCCACTGTTAGCGTAACACACCCGCTTTAAGGACACTGACTGCTATTCAATCTATAACAGTGAAAAAAGATTATTTTTTTTTTAAATCCAAACTATTGTGACACAGATCTAATTAGTGGCACTTGTCAGCGTATCCACTGTTAGCGTAACACACCCGCTTTAAGGACACTGACTGCTATTCAATCTATAACAGTAAAAAAAGTTTTTTGTTTTTAAATCAAGCTATTGTGACACCAGATGTAATTGGTGGCACTGACTGGGGAAATGGGCACAGTATGCACTGTGAGCCTGACACAGAAGCTGGCAGCAGTGGCAGACAACTGACTGCTATTCAATCTATAACAGTGAAAAAAGTTTTTTGTTTTTAAATCCAAGCTATTGTGACACCAGATGTAATTGGTGGCACTGACTGGGGAAATGGGCACTGTGAGCCTGACACAGAAGCTGGCAGCAGTGGCAGACAACTAAGTGCATTTACATTAGATAGAAAAAAAAAATCCAAAAAAAGCATACCCTTATCCCTAACCTAGCTATGCTTTTCCCTATCTTATGAACAGCAGCTACACTTTCCCTCCTCTTACTAAGCATGCAGCTTGAGAATGAATCTAAAATGGATGCTGTCCAGTAGGTGGGAGGGTCTGCTAGGGAGGCTGTGCTGCTAATTGGCTGGAATGTGTCTGCTGACTGTGAGGTACAGGGTCAAAGTTTACTCAATGATGACGAATAGGGGGCGGGTCGAACCGCGCATATGTTCGCACGCCGTGGCGAACGCGAACATGCTATGTTCGCCAGGAACCGTTCGCCGGCGAACCGTTCGGTACATCACTAGTCCTAATCATATAGAATGGACATAAAAACAAAAAGAAAATGAACATAAAATGAAGTTAAAAAGAAGATAGAGACATTATCTCAATGAATATCTTCTCTCCATTTAAAGACATGCCCACATACAACTTGTGGGTTTATTTGGAAATATAAAACAGATTTCTAAATAGATTCTGGTCTATTCTGGATAATCAGCTAAAAAAGAATACATAACTACAAATACCTATCCAAAAACTTCCATGGTTAAAAACAAAAGAATGCTAAAAAATGCTGGTTGTTACGGTAACCCCCAGGCTAGCTGGAAGCTGGACCACTTGGATGGTCTGGATCCCAAAGGCAGAGAAGGAGGAGAGTCGCTTTGGTAGTTATTCCATACATATCCTGTAAATGTAGAGCAATCCCACTAGCTATCATGTAGCTAGGATACCCTTTTGCCCACAAAACGAGTCGAGGCTGTGATTTGAAGGTAAAGCAAGAACTGGCTTTAATGACACACAGGGGACCATATTTATGCAAAATCTCAGGCCCAGGGACAGCCCCCTCTGGACCTGATGGGATACAGGGACAATACAAGTGAAGGACCAATAGAAATGCAATGCATTGTTTGAAATCGTCACCGCCCAGCTTGGAGATAATGAATCCAACGGTTATTACAATACAATTATCTCCAAGCGCCCAAAACCCCACGTGTTTTTGCCAGAAAACAGAATAAAAATACATAATTCAAACAGTTTTATACATAATTCATGTCTTCCACCATTCATTAAATATCCCCGGTTGAGGTGAAACAGTTAACCGAAGAGAGCGCAGAACCCACGAATCGTATGCTGTATTTCCTCGAAACCAAGTCTGTTTGTGTCTTTGGGTTCTGAGCGTGTGATGGCGGCCATGTTTTGAGGTAGACTACTAGGCCGCGGGACTTCACTCTCAAACTTGTGGAACAGGAACCAGCTAGAAGTCTGCACGAATCCCCGCTCCATCACTGGATGTCTCCGTTGTTCGGGAGGCAAATGAAGGCCGCCGGGAGGGGGTATCTAACCTGCGGTTAACCGCAGAAACCAACATTCTAATTGGAGCCACACGCCAGGCTGTAGGTGGCCCTTGTTTGGTACCCGTTCGGTAGTTAGAGTATCGGGCAATGGGGCACGAACGTGAATGCCGTGCTGCCGTCAATTAGGTTGCGGTTAATCACAGACCAAAACTCTCTGGGCGATTAAGTGGAGGCACACTCCGCTCGTAGGGTGGTCGGCCGTTCAGTTGTTCCAGGGGTGACCGAGGTTAATTAACGGCACACGCCAAAATCTTGGTTGTCTGTCATTCGTATAACGAATAGACAGCGGGCCCGTAGTTCGGGAATTAGGTACCAAATCCCAGTACTGTAGTCAAACTCTGGGTGAAAGGCAACAATGAATAACATTCGCTTCTGAGTTGTAGCAACTCAATAATAGTAACCAATAGTTTGTAACAGTGCTCCCTCTTTGTGGAACACTATGGCAGACACCGTCTGACCCCTTTTTGGGGTAGCTGTCCAGATGGTGATTACGCTGGGCTGAGGTCTGTTTGCCTGGATAACCCATTGGCATTGCCATTCTGTTTTCCAGGTCGGTAGGCAATCGTGAAGTTAAACTTCACCTTCACCTAACAGTCTGCCATTGTCTCCCGAGACATGGTTTAACCACACCAACGGGTTATGATCAGTAACCAGTGAAAACTCTTGTCCATATAAAAAGGGAGTCAATTTCTTTAGTGCCCACACCAGGGCCAAACACTCCTTTTCTACCGCGGCATAGCTGACTTTGCGTGGTAGGAGCTTTCGGCTGATGTAGGCAATCGGGTGCTCCCCTCCATCTTCGCTTACTTGTCTGAGGACGGCCGCCAGCCCGAACATTGAAGCGTCTATATGGACAATAAAATGTTTGTTAGGGGCTGGGGCTGCCAAGACAGGAGCGTTAACAAGTGCAGTCTTAAGAGCCTGAAAAACAGTTTCACAGTGGGGAGACCACAGGACCTGTCTGGGTAAGTTTTTCTTGGTCAGTGTGACGAGAGCAATTTGGACTATGGCCCCCGTGTTAAAAGACTTTGTTTTGCCTGCAGAAAAGCTTTATTCGTGCTTTTCTCCCGGGTGTTCAGTAGATTCAATCTACCGAACAACCGCACGAATGAATAGACCACCTGGGAGCTGGAGTGTGCTGGCAATTAACCTCCCTGAAGCTGCGGTTAACCTCAGCTTAATTGATGAATGCTGGGTGGCCGCCATTCGTATCCCGAACACGAGGTCGTGGCCATTTTAAACATACGAATGCACAGCGGTGTTCGACGCTTAATTCATGGAACTAAAATCGGACGCAGTTTTGCGCGAACACCACTGAAGCCACCGACCTCCCTTCTTGTTCGGTGGAAGTACACGAACGGCCGGTGTTCAGTAGTTTTACTTGTCCATGTTATACCCCAGATAGGAATCCCATGGAGCCCATTCGCATGAAACTGACTGTGTAAAGACTTTAGCTCCATGGCGATTAAACTGTATTCGTGTGGTCTTAGCACCATTCCCTTAATAATGTGCGCTCAGACCTGAGCTATCTGGGGACATGTTAAATGTATAGTTTTATTGTAATGTGTCTCACATAGTGTATTTTAACAGTAATTCATGTTTTAGTATCCCCACGTGCATAATGGTGATTTGCCTTTGTCTTGGGAGATAATTGAATTACTTCTCAATTATCTCCAAGGCAGAGGGGAGGAAGCCAGGATGCATTGTGGGAATACAATGTGACTGTGTGTCCTGTTTGGCTGATTATCTGTCTTTTGTCACAGTCTCCCATTTGGTCCCCTAGGGGAGTGTCCACCAGGTGGGAGACCTGCATAAATACTGGGCAGGTAGCCCTCATTAAACAGACCACTACTTGACCCACAACACGGAGCCTTGTCTCGTCTTTGGGGGGATTTACTGAATGCTGATAGAGACCGATTGCTAGGAGTGTAAGCTGCTTGGATGCTTTTCCTATTCGTCTGCTAGCAGCGATTCGTATGGTTCCTGTTCGTGTGTTTGGAGTGCTATATTGGATGCCGTTCGGGAGTTTGGAGCATTCACTTATTGGCGGTTTGTGTGTTTGGTGTTCTACAATAGCTGTGCCTGCATCTCTGGAAAGAGGGACGATCGCCTAAACGGTTTTTACCCCTTGTGTGCAAAATGGTCCGTTACAGTCAGGTCAGTCAATGGTTTGGCAATTGTGCTGTAGTCCGGTACAACCCGTCTGTAATACCCGGCTGTGCCCAAGGAGGCTAGGGCCTGAGTCTTAGTGGTGGGAGTGGGCCAGTTGACTACGGCTTCTATCTTGGCTGATTCTGATCGCTGATTCCCACACCCTACTCTGTGTCCTAGGTACTGGACCTCAGCCATCCTAAAATGGCATTTTTCTGGTTTCAGTGCCAGGCCCGCAGCCTGGACCTGATCCACCACCATGCCTACGTGAGCCAACAGGACTCACTGTGGATCTCTATGTCGTCCAGGTATGCACACGCAAAACTCTATCCACCAAGCGCTGAAATGTAGCTGGGGTATTTTTCATCCCGAACGGCATCACCTTAAAGTGGTCTAAGCCGAATGGGGTGACAAATCCCAACTTGGGGATAGCGTTCTGGGCCAGAGGGATTTGCCAATAACCTTTGTAGAGGTCACAAGTAGTCAAATAGTTTCCCCTGGCGATATGATCAAGTAGCTCGTC